TCGGAAAAGTCCGGTACCATTAATAACTATTTGAAAGTTTAGCAGAATATCAAAGAAGATAGTTCATCAAAATGTCTTACATGGTGTATGGCTAAAACGGTAAAAATTGCTTCAATAGCTCCAGCTGCCCCAAGAAGATGACCAATAGCGCCCTGAATTTTAATTTGGATTGAGAAAGCTTGCAAATGAAAGTCAAAAGAATAATTAATTCACAACATCTCAATGAAGTCATGTTTTCTATTTGGAGTGTATTTTGAACAAAATGATGTGGCAGGCTGGCATCCACCTAGTGAAATTCCCACCATCCCACCCATAAATTATTCATGCAGAGTGCACATTGTAGTAATAATTTGTTGCTGCATCATTTTAAAAGAGATTTAGTTATCTGTTTGTGCATGCAGGGATGCACTTAAAGCAATAGCAAACTGACAGCATATCCCTGAAGAGGGCAGATGGTTCCTTTCTTTCCCATATCCTTTCTGCCTCTGCTGTCTTTCATTATTATTAAATTAGGTTAATTTATAAGATGGGAGACTTACTGATTTTGAACTCCCAAGAGAAGTCATACTTTGGTAGAGGAAGAATGCAGGAAGAGGTATCTTAAGGTTTCATAAAAATAAGCATGCATCAGTTAACAATAATATGATTCAGATGTTCTTTCATCCCTATGAACTTTTATCATCATCTTTGCAGTACATCATACTCATCCATATCATATGGAAGTATTAATTGAAGGATCAACACAGACTATCAAGCAAGTTAATTTCCAGTTACTAACAAATCTGAGATCAACAGTCATCAGCTGAAGATTTATAGGATAGTAGGTGTACCACAAAATTCTTTTCCTATATTCCCAGAAAGCAATTGGATCAAAAAAAAAAAAAAATTACCTTTGTGGATGAAAAGTCCAAAAGCACCTGAGGTTGCATGGTCAGAGAACACAGTTCTGATAGCAGTGGCTTCTACTTTATCGCCTGAAGAAGAGTTAAGAGCTTAGTGATGTAGATCAAATCTTAACACCAGTATGTGTCCCACTACATAACATTGGAGAGAGGATTACATAGTTCAGGAAGATTTACCCAAAGGTGTAGAAGTAGCATGTGCATTCAGACAATCTGCTTGGTTAGGATGAAGACCAGACTGCCAGGCATGAAAAAGTAATTACATAATAAACCAGAATATTCTCTGCATGTATAGTAACAAGAGACTCACAATAGTACAAGAAAGCTTTAGGGCACCAAATGGAAATAAATTAACTTTTAATTTTAAAAAGTGGAAGCAAGTGAAGTATTCTTTCCACTTCCCTCTTTTTTCCCTGAATTCAGATCATTTGAGATTAACCCCATACTGAAAAGGTGCTTCTTCTAGACATGAGTATTTAAGAGAAAATATCAACTGATATTTTTCAAGAAAAAATTTTA